GAGCTGCAGGTCTGAATCAATGTTCTTCAACCTATGGAGGCATGGCTCACTGGTGGGCCGCCAATAGGTTTTTCCTAATCATGTAACAGGGTCAGGTAGGCAGTTTTTCTATTCTAAGATTGTAGTCTGTAAAATTATCTAAGGGAAAAGAATCAAAAAGGTACAAGTGATATTCAACATAACAAGTCAGCATTTAAAGACGTTAGCTAAGGAGTTTGAAAACTACTTCCCCAAAAAAAAAGGATCCGCTTTAAGGCAACATTTTGGTTAATAATCCCTTCTTGAAAGATATACAGTCATAGGCAAATGTTTATCACAGAAAAGAAAAAAAGATAGTTTTTTTTTTTTTCTGATGTCAGTCTAATGCCAAGAAAAAAATGCAATCATTACCTGAATTTTGGACATCACAGGAAAAAAAAAAAAAAAAAAATATCTATATCCGAGTCACAGAGCAATCGGATTGATGGTCATTCTTTCAACTTCCTATTTGTGTTTTTAAAAAATTGCAAAAAAAAAAAAAAAAAAAAAAAAAAGATTTTCTCCGCCATATCAGTAATAAATCAATACACAGAAATTGAATCAATGTTAATGCAGCACTTCAACTATTAGAATTAACGTTGCAGCCAGGTATATCAGATTTTCGAACCTCTTAGCTGCATATGTCATATAAGCTGAAAACTGCAATTTTTAGATATCAGACTTAACATATAAGCTACATTCACTTTTTGTTTCTGTGTTTGTTATCTGTCAGGTGGGTAATGAAACAATCTTCTCAGGATTGGTGGCTGCAAAACAATTTTCTCCAGTTTAGTGGGCCACGAAACAGTTTTCTTTGGTTTTGTGGACTGTGTGTGTAAACAGTTTGAGAAACACTGGTCTAGCTCTCTGACTAAAAAAAAACTATTAACAAACAAAACAATTGAAACATAAGGAACTTAAGATTAGTGAGCACATCACCAGAAGAAGTTGACTGAGAATCACTAAACAGTATTTATTTGGTTGAGTGTATGTCGAAGTATGTAAAGTGCTGATTCGGCAGACAGCAGAGAGGAACTACTGCAGGTCAAGGAACAGACAGATGACTACAAGAAACCTGAATGGGACATCACGAACAATAAAGAATATCCCTTTGACCAATCACTGCATCATGGTATCTGTTTAACATGTTTTAATGAGAATATACTATTTGATCATATAAAAATAACATATTAAAAATTAAAATACAACTATGTAACTAATGTTATTTGTAACCTGTTCTACTGTATGGCATGAACTTTACAGACAGATGGACAGATATACATATACATCAGGGTTGACCACAAGGAAAATCACGTCAGAAAGTCTCACAGTGTGTGACTTGGAGGAAAACCATCATTGGAAACATCTGTGCCATGTGGCAAGCTTTATGAGGATAATGATTTTGTAACTCTTCTTGACATAATTCTTTCAGTGACACTGGAGTTATATTCAATATTGTAAGGATAATACTGAAGCCTTAACAATGTGGTTATAAGACAAATAAATGGATGACCTAGCATACAAATTAAATGCAAATAAATATAACAAAGCCTGGAACTAAAGATAAGATAACTGAAGGACCAAAGGCAGACAATTAAGCTGCTTCAGAAATGTAAAGAGTCATGGTTCCTTGTTAGAGGATCCTATGTAGGCAGGGTAGGAATGTAATACACTTATAGTTTGGTCCCTTCATTATAAAATGTACATACTATAGGGAAACATTCAGTGCTCAGATTAAATTAAATTTAAAACCTGGTTGTGATAAAAGGAAATGACGCAGAAACAAACAGTCAGGTCACTTAATGTATCAAGGCATTTCTATGTCATTCATGGGACAATGCTATGCAAAAAAAAAGGTGAAAATACAAAACTGGAAATGGCATAGAATTTAAAAAAAATTTACTGAACTATATGTAAAAGTGGAAGAAGTCAAAAGTGAAAGCTTGATAAATGTAAACACAATTTATAAGGTTGTGTTTTATACGAAAAGGTTTTAAATTGTGATGTTTTCACCAAACCTTATTGTGGCCAGCCATAAAAAATAAGTCACACCAAGTTGTCTAAGCTACAAGTCACAGGTAAAGTCACAAGTCATTGGACAAATCATCAAGTCGAGTCAAAAGTCCTGGACAAAACATCAAGTCGAGTCATGAGTCACTGAACAAAACATTAAGTCAAGTCACAAGATGTGGATAAAACATCAAGTCACCAGTTCCTAATTACGTGACTTAAGTAACACTCAAGTTCCGACCACTGCCAGTCCCACACAAGCAGCACTAGACACAATCACACACAACTGGGTTTAGTCCTACAGTGACGTACAGTTTGCTTAGGAATAGATCATCATCAAGTAACTGGTCATTTGCAAAACATTGTTTTCATCATGACAAACCAGAAAGATAACTCTGTCCCCTGCCAGTTTTCCACTGTTGTAAATTATCATGACCACTGTGTCCTTGATATCCTGTGTCCATCATGGTGCTAGTCAACCCCTGCCTTTTCTTCCAGAAATCATAACCTTCTTTACTGTTCTCTCCAAGTGTTTAACATGGCCAAAGCATTTCAGTTTACAAGAAACAATACTGTTTATCAGCCCCTCATATTCAGATTGTGAAGATGGTCTTTATTTTTCCTATTCCTTGTTTATAATACTCTTAGAACTCTCAATAACATTCCTATGTCTACAGTCATGCAAACACACATGGTAATAAAATTCAGTCACATAAAAGCTACTACCACAATGTGCACGATACAGCAAGCAATAAAATACATTAAAATAGCAATGGTTCTGAAAAATAACATTCAAGGTAACAACAGCTTTAAAGATAATACCATTTTAAGGACAACAACAACATTAAAGACAATAGCAACAAAAACATATTTTTTTGGTTTGAACATAAGATCACAGTTTACAACAATTGCCTCTATCAATGTCCAGTTTTATCACAAACACGCTTTTCTGTCCCATTACATGCATCTAGGAAAAATCTGGCCATTCTAGCTTTCATCTAATTTAGCAATATTTTCTTCAATCATAGTTTTTGCAATACTTGTATTATATTTTCTCATTCTGTCAATATATTCCTCCTATTTGGCAATTAACCCTTTCTACCACAGTCAACACAACAAGTGTAATCAAATACGCACAGTCTATCTTTTTGTACAAAGTTATGTTATTACAATCAACATCTTTGCACATTGGGCATTTTCATGCATGCTCGTTGCTTTGATGCAGCAGCCACTCCAAGGTACCCCTACTGATTTTTCCTACCAGGAGTTGGGTATAATATCTCCTGTCTTTACCTCAAAGACGGCATAGGCATGCTTCACTAAGCTCAATTCTTTGGTCATGCAGTTATGTTAGCGTCAGAGTTGCTACAAGGTATACTGTATAAAGTATACTGTCTTGCCATATCATTTACACATGGTTTGAATATATAACAAAAAATCTAACCAACCAGGGACAATAAGCCACGACCAATTACACAACAAACCATTTAAGCGAACAAACTTGGCACAAATAAAATTAGACCACAGTTATAACCGGATCTGTCTTCAGCAGGGCTGAATGTGGTCGACAAATTAAAATCTAATCGAGCAGTTTAAATGCTGCATCGCTGAATGGAAAATTCCCAAAATGGTTCTGACACACTGCTTCTTAAGAAACATGACATAAAAGATGGCCATTGGTAATTAAGGGTTTGCTAAGACCAAATGTACAGGGTAACCCAGCTGTAAACCACATAGTGTGTCAACTGCCCAAATACAGAAGAAGAATGTCAAACAAACACTTGTGCTTTTGTCATTGTGGTTCCTTGCATGAGCAGGGCACTATTTTTTTCCTGGGGCAGGGGGGTTGACATACTGTCACTTAACAAGCATGTTAAAAAAAAAGAGGTTTGCTGAAATCAGATGTGTTGGGTTGAAAGGTACAGATAATGCAGCCTAGCTGTAAACCACAACATATTGTGCCCACTGCCTTTCACGGGCAACCACAGAAAAAAAAAAAAAAAAGAAGAAAAAGAAAAACACTGATGCTTTTGTCATTGTAGTTAGTTCAGCTGTGCTTCTTGTTGCAACATATTCTAGGACAGGAAAAATATGATATTTGATCAAAGGTCTCTTGGAGTGACAGTCAAAGGGAAACAACCACACTTTTGATTCCCAGTACAGGAGAGGTCCCTTTTCCATACCTTCAAGTGAACAGATTTAGTCCTATATTTTATAGATCGATCGGTGGGTGATTTGGTCAGCATCATGCCTTCCGCCTTTACTTCCCATGACTTTAACTGGTACCCTTTTAAGGCTGGGTCGACCTACAGGCCAAAGTCATCTTTTTTAACAAAAATAAATAAGACTGTCAGGACCTGAACTCACAACCTTCTCATCCACATTTATTTTATACTACTACCCAGTTTTGTCCTTTTTAGGACGAAATTTTTTGTTGTTTGAAGCCCCACCCTGGCTTTTGCCAGGGGCCACAATATAGGCAGGCCATAAATATAGCAAATTGTCAGAATGCGGTTTCTGAGACCTCTCCACGACGATCCTCATCCGCCTGGTGGCACTTTGTGTCATCGTGTGTTGATCGCTTGTGTGATGTCCTAGTGGGGTAGAAAGTCAGTCAGTCTCATCCACAGGCGAGCTACTAGCCACTACAACATGGCAGCTTCCTTGTTTCCCTATTAGAGCCTCCATTATTTCTGTAATCTTTCATTCGCGAATAATTAACAGTGTATGGAAGCTAGATATTTTGTAGCAAGTCATCTTCATGAAAAAACAAAGCAGATATTCTAATCAAATCATCTGGCTCCAAAATGCATAAACATTTGTGACGATCAATAACGTGTTAACTCTTTAAACCAATCTTTAATTTGTCCACAGTTTTTTTTTCTTTTCCATGTTGTTAAGCAATAACAGACAATCTTTAGATGAACTACTATCTACTACAGTTTTTCTGAGATAAAATCTTGTTCTTGGGCTCAGACCCTGGTTTCTGGTCCCTGCGTGACTTGCCTGAATGACTCTTTCAGACGTGTCAGGAAGTTTGCACAAATGTGGCCAAATATTCTTGTGTACCACTCTGGTGATCGCCCTCTAGATTGAAGACAAATTGGGAAGACATGATTCAAAATTTGAAACAATTTAGTGCAATATTGACTGTGCTGAATAAATTCTAAATGAAATATCTCTTGGTTGAATTTATTTACTGGATGCATAAGTAAGGAGCCACACATGGTGGTGCAACAGGACAAGCACTCATACTGGTCTCTACACTTTTCCATAGTGATCCTGGAAACAGGGACGTATACAGGATCAAGTTTCTGGCAAAAGTTGAGTGCATCTGTCTGAGAGGTGGAGAACCAACAGTCTGCACATCAATAAGCCGGACCTGTGAAATGACCATGCACCTAGCACAGGTCCCGGTACAAAACCAAAGTCCAGAACTGAGCAAACATCGAAGATATTTCATCAGAGTTTACAGCTGGTGAACACAAAGAAGGAGAAGAATCCACCACAGGAACAGCAGCCAAATCCACAGCAGCAGTAGCAGCAGAGAGAGGAAGCAGCAGAATTATAACAACAGTAATAATAATAATCATAGTAATAATAATCATAATTAATTAATTATCTTGGAATGTGTCACTTTCTGAAGAAATCTGGCAAATATGTAGACTTTCTTTGCCTGCCATAAATTAATTCAATATGGTCTACTACATTATTGGAAGTAATCTGCCATGAAATATAATAAGTGATCTATTTGCTACCTCATCCAATACAAAAATGGATTTGAAAGTGAGTCTCCTATCGACTGCACTAACATATGAGATCTGATGTGTTTGAGAGTCTACCCTCTTCCACTACAAGCATGAATCTTCCTTGCATTTATTTATTCATTCATTGTCCTGTTGTGCCTTTATATGCCTCATAGGGTTAGCAGTATTTCTCTATTCCGTTCTAACCTGCGCAATCACTGAGGTATCATGGATGAAATCCAGTCCAGCGTCTTTGGTTTCTCTCATTAACGTTCGCTATGTAATTCCTTGTTGATTGTCTATCTGCACCATATAGAGAGCTGAGTCTACATAACATTTACAAATTCTAATTTTTTGTGTGTGCCAACTTTAATAGGTGAAACGTAGTGAGAACCCAACCACCACTACAATGGCCAGCCATATTTTATATCATTCCCTCAACAGGCCTCAAGTTATGTTATCAATATCAACATCACTGCTCATTTGGCATTTCATTGTGTACTCAGTCCTTTGATGTAGCAGCCACCCCAAAGGTACCACTACTACTTGCTCCCATGAGAAGTTAGGTTACAGTGTCGCTTATCTTGACCTTTAAAATGGTACCGATGATGTCTCATGTGTTTTAGAGTCTACCCACTTTCACTACTTCATATTTTCCTCTGTCATGAAACAACTAGCCTACCTTGTGTCCAGGCGGGTGATATAAGTCAGTCGAGACCGACCAGACCCACAGTGCTCCATTAGAAAATATGAGCCCAAATCAACAGCCCATACACCCTGGACTTCCATCGGATGTGAATGTTCGACAGACATAGTGATGAGAGCACAAGCACCTTTGTTGAGGTCGCTCCGCCAGTACCTGGGTCAAAAACAGTAGCAGAAATGATTATACCACTACCAGAGTTGAAAAGATAAGTTAAAATACAAGTAAGTTATACCAGTAGCTGGTCAGAAAAAGTAATGTGTCTTATATAAATACCAGTAGCTGGTCAGAAAAAGTAATGTGTCTTATATAAATACCTGTAGCTGGTCAGAAAAAGTGTAAATCAACCATTTTAATGGTTAGAAAAAGTAATGTAACTATCTTTTATCTCTTTCTGCCTTCTATCCCCTAATGGAGCATAGGCCCTCAACCAGCTCATGCCAAGTCGTTCTATCCATTGATACTGCATGCAGCTCACCCTATGTCCTCCACGTCTATTTAACTTCACTATCTATTTCCCTTCCTACATGGTAGAAAGTTCTAACATTCTAGGTGCCAATTCTGGTGAGAGGAGGTACGTCGATGTCCAGCCTCCTTTTGGCTTTCACCGCACCATGTCTTCATTCTTCTGTTTGAAGAGCCTCCCCCCCCCCCCCCCCCCATCTTGGTTGACTGGGTATTTATTGTTTCTCTTCTAGACTTTTCCATGGTTGGTTGGTCTTTTGGCTATTATTTTTACAGGATGAAGTAGTCAAACCAAGCCCAACCCTACCCTTTGTTGTCTCTTATGACATGCCGGTTAGAGTGCAGTGTTACTATTCTTTGCTTCCTGTGAAGTCCTCTGCAATATACGGGTGAGTGTAACTTTACCGAAACACAATTGTGAGGTTAAAATAGAGTTTAAAATCTAGCTCTAGATGACTAAAGCAGGTTTGTGAAGAAATCAGTCAGTAACAGACAGCCAATAGTCAGTGTTGCGAGAAAATAAGACTGTTCTACCTCCTCTTCTTCTTCTTCACTTCCTCTTTTACCTGTCTTTGTGTAGAGCAAGATATGAAGTTCTGCTTCTTGCTCTTCTGGTCACCTCAAGCCTATGGACACATTCTACTGCTGCAGAATTTCTCTGATGCTATCTTTCCATATTGTTCTTGATCTGTCTTGCTCTACTTCCCTCTCTTCTTTTGGTGAATGCCTGGTATTGTATGACATCGCAAAACATTTTCTCTGAGTGCGCAAACCATTATATGTGCTGTCATTGTATACAATTTAATATTGGTTATGTGCCGACTTTTTTCTTTTGTGGCTACATTCTTAATTCAGTCTCTTCTGGTCACTCCTACCACCCTTTTAAGACTTCTCATCAAGTGAAATTAAGATGAATGTCACAAGTATTTATTTTATTGCCACTTGTGGATTCCAAAAATGGTCTTTTCTTGCCACTTGTACTCTTCATCAATGTCATACACAGTATTTTCCTGCTATTTTTACCCTCCTAAAACACCATAAATTCTCTCTGAAACATTGAGAATACTGACCTCAACACACAGAAGTGTCTGAACGGATGAGGAGCCATGCTGTTGAGCACAAACTGAAAGATGTCAGAGTGAGGATCCAGTCTCTCAACAACTGACCAACTCAGGAGATCTTCATCCCAAACATGCCTGTGACAAAAACCAATCAGAAAATCAACATAAAGTTACTTCAAATATCTTCTTCTTCTTCTTTGTTCACCGGCTGTAAGCTCCGGCGGAAAGTCCTGGTTGTTCATCCCACTTGTACTTTGTCTTTGTGCCAGGGCCGGAGTTTTACATGTAGATCTGATTTTACTGGCTTATTTGTGTGCAGTTAGTTGTTCCTTGCCACTTGTGCAGATGCACTCCGACTCCGAAGAAAGTCCCCAATTAGTTGACTCCTACGACATGCTTGTTGGGGAGGCAGTAGGTCGATTCCTGTTTTCCTAACAATGGGGCCTGAAACCCACACGGAGACCTTCAAATTTCAAAAATGCAATAATGTTCTTTAAAACTGAAAAACTGCATTTCTTTATTGCCACAAAATATTCATTTAAATGTCAAAATTGCAACAACAATAAATAATCTTGAAAAAAATCAACCACATTATGTAATTTTATTGAAATATCAAAAGACAAAAATATTAATAAAAATATTATCAATGTTCCTTAAAACATCAAATGTTCAATATATGTTATTTGGGTCCTTTTTTATCCAAAATAGAATGTGTAAACAGTTTTATTTATCAAATACATGTGCCAAATACATGCGTTGAATACATGTGCAATATACATGCGTTGAATACATGTGCCAAATACATGCGTTGAATACATGAGCCAAATACATGCGTTGAATACATGTGCCAAATACATGCGTTGAATACATGTGCCAAATACATGCGTTGAATACATGTGCCATATACATGCGTTGAATACATGTGCCAAATACATGCGTTGAATACATGTGCCAAATACATGTGTTGAATACATGTGCCAAATACATGCGTTGAATACATGTGCCAAATACATGTGTTGAATACATGTGCCAAATACATGCGTTGAATACATGTGCAATATACATGCGTTGAATACATGTGCCAAATACATGCGTTGAATACATGAGCCAAATACATGCGTTGAATACATGTGCCAAATACATGCGTTGAATACATGTGCCAAATACATGCGTTGAATACATGTGCCAAATACATGCATTGAATACATGTGCCAAATACATGCGTTGAATACATGTGCCAAATACATGCGTTGAATACATGTGCCAAATACATGTGTTGAATACATGTGCCAAATACATGCGTTGAATACATGTGCAATATACATGCGTTGAATACATGTGCCAAATACATGCGTTGAATACATGAGCCAAATACATGCGTTGAATACATGTGCCAAATACATGCGTTGAATACATGTGCCAAATACATGCGTTGAATACATGTGCCAAATACATGCGTCAAATACATGTGTTGAATACATGTGCCAAATACATGCGTTGAATACATGTGCCAAATACATGCGTTGAATACATGTGCCAAATACATGTGTTGAATACATGTGCCAAATACATGTGTTGAATACATGTGTCATATACATATGTTACTTGTTACTTATTATCTGTATCAACAGTCTAGCACAAGGGTCCAAACTCATTCATGCTAGATCATCTGATGCAACAGCCATAATGACATAATGGGACAATGAGACAACAGAATGACGGATCCATAGAGACAGAAAAGGTACAAAGAGAATAGACAGAAATAGAAAGATATAGTAATTGTGTTACAGGCACAAAGAATAGAAAAAATAAATTGAGTGTGAGCGCTTTATAGGAGATAAAGAGAATGAATAGACAGAGAGAGTACAGATACGGAGATACAACGACTAGACACAAAGAGTAAGACAGCAACAGAGAGGAAAAGAAACAGCTTGGCTGTGAATTTTCTTACCTTTCATGCAAGATTCTGTGCAGAACTTCTATTGGCGGTGCTTCTATTTCCACAACTAGCTTCCATTCTTTCAGAGGGCAATCATCCATGGGTTTCCGAAGAAAGACTTCCACATCACCGACCATGAAAGCCTGAAGCCAGCCTCGATTTTTATCATGAGCTTCCTGATTAATTAATTTAAATTGTTAAACAGAGTCAAAAACAACTACAACTCACCTAAAAAAAAAAAAAAAGGAAGTCAAAACAATAATAGAAAATCAGTATGAGCTAAGCTGAGTTAAGTCAAGAACAAGCATCAGAGAACTCATTCTTTCAGCAGTTTGAGTATATGTCTGTCTTGTCTTTCCTGTGAGTGTAGAGGGTTGTCTAAATCCTCTGTTCACTCTTTGCAGCCCAGTTCTCTCTACACCATAATGATATATTCACCCTTCCATATTGTTTGATTGCTTCCAAAGGGCTTTGACCACAACTAGCTTATGAAGCAGTGGCTTAACCAGTCCACCATTACAGTAGCTTTTCATCAGTTTATGAAGCAGTGGCTTAACCAGTCCACCACCACAGTAGCTTTTCATCAGTTTATGAAGCAGTGGCTTAACCAGTCCACCACCACAGTAGCTTTTCACTGGCTGAAGAGTCAGGATGAGTGGAAATCGCTAAAGTTTTTTTTGGTGGTGGGGGGGGGGGGGGGGGGGGTGGGGGGGGGGGGGGGGGGGGTGGTAAGCGAGAGTACCGCAAAGTAGAATAACTATTTATCCTGGTAATCTTAAACAGCATTTAGTCCCGAAAGCCGAGTATTTTGTCATGTTAGATGTCATGTTAGATGTCATGTTAGATGTCAGGTTAGATGTCATGTTAGATGTCAGGTTAGATGTCATGTTAGATGTCAGGTTAGATGTCATGTTAGATGTCAGGTTAGATGTCATGTTGGATGTCAGGTTAGATGTCATGTTAGATGTCATGTTAGATGTCAGGTTAGATGTCAGGTTAGATGTCAGGTTAGATGTCAGGTTAGATGTCAGGTTAGATGTCAGGTTAGATGTCAGGTTAGATGTCAGGTTAGATGTCAGGTTAGATGTCAGGTTAGATGTCAGGTTAGATGTCAGGTTAGATGTCAGGTTAGATGTCAGGTTAGATGTCATGTTAGATGTCAGGTTAGATGTCAGGTTAGATGTCAGGTTAGATGTCATGTTAGATGTCAGGTTAGATGTCAGGTTAGATGTCAGGTTAGATGTCATGTTAGATGTCATGTTAGATGTCAGGTTAGATGTCATGTTAGATGTCATGTTAGATGTCAGGTTAGATGTCATGTTAGATGTCAGGTTAGATGTCATGTTAGATGTCAGGTTAGATGTCAGGTTAGATGTCATGTTAGATGTCAGGTTAGATGTCAGGTTAGATGTCAGGTTAGATGTCAGGTTAGATGTCATGTTAGATGTCATGTTAGATGTCAGGTTAGATGTCATGTTAGATGTCAGGTTAGATGTCAGGTTAGATGTCAGGTTAGATGTCAGGTTAGATGTCAGGTTAGATGTCATGTTAGATGTCAGGTTAGATGTCAGGTTAGATGTCAGGTTAGATGTCAGGTTAGATGTCAGGTTAGATGTCAGGTCAGATGTCAGGTCAGATGTCAGGTTAGATGTTATGTTAGATGTCATGTTAGATGTCAGGTTAGATGTCAGGTTAGATGTCAGGTTAGATGTCAGGTTAGATGTCAGGTTAGATGTCATGTTAGATGTCAGGTTAGATGTCATGTTAGATGTCATGTTAGATGTCAGGTTAGATGTCAGGTTAGATGTCATGTTAGATGTCATGTTAGATGTCATGTTAGATGTCATGTTAGATGTCATGTTAGATGTCATGTTAGATGTCATGTTAGATGTCAGGTTAGATGTCAGGTTAGATGTCAGGTTAGATGTCAGGTTAGATGTCAGGTTAGATGTCATGTTAGATGTCAGGTTAGATGTCAGGTTAGATGTCATGTTAGATGTCAGGTTAGATGTCAGGTTAGATGTCAGGTTAGATGTCAGGTTAGATGTCAGGTTAAATGTCATGTTAGATGTCAGGTTAGATGTCATGTTAGATGTCATGTTAGATGTCAGGTTAGATGTCAGGTTAGATGTCAGGTTAGATGTCAGGTTAGATGTCAGGTTAGATGTCAGGTTAGATGTCAGGTTAGATGTCATGTTAGATGTCAGGTTAGATGTCAGGTCAGATGTCAGGTCAGATGTCAGGTTAGATGTTATGTTAGATGTCATGTTAGATGTCAGGTTAGATGTCAGGTTAGATGTCAGGTTAGATGTCAGGTTAGATGTCATGTTAGATGTCAGGTTAGATGTCAGGTTAGATGTCATGTTAGATGTCAGGTTAGATGTCATGTTAGATGTCATGTTAGATGTCATGTTAGATGTCATGTTAGATGTCATGTTAGATGTCATTTTAGATGTCAGGTTAGATGTCAGGTTAGATGTCAGGTTAGATGTCAGGTTAGATGTCATGTTAGATGTCAGGTTAGATGTCAGGTTAGATGTCAGGGTGGCCTGGGGAGAATATTGACGGAGGGTTCAGCTTCCAGAAGACAAGGAAGAGGCAGACGTTCATGAACATGGCTACAAGACATTCAACATGCACTGGCTACAAGACATTCAACATGCACTGGCTACAAGACATTCAACATTCACTGGCTACCAGACATTCAACATTCACTGGCTACCAGACATTCAACATTCACTGGCTACAAGACATTCAACATGCACTGGCTACCAGACATTCAACATGCACTGGCTACAAGACATTCAACATGCACTGGCTACAAGACATTCAACATGCACTGGCTACAAGACATTCAACATGCACTGGCTACAAGACATTCAACATGCACTGGCTACAAGACATTCAACATGCACTGGCTACAAGACATTCAACATGCACTGGCTACAAGACATTCAACATGCACTGGCTACAAGACATTCAACATGCACTGGCTACAAGACATTCAACATGCACTGGCTACAAGACATTCAACATGCACTGGTTACAAGACATTCAACATGCACTGGCTACAAGACATTCAACATGCACTGGCTACAAGACATTCAACATGCACTGGCTACAGGACATTCAACATGCACTGGCTACAAGACATTCAACATGCACTGGCTACAAGACAATCAACATGCACTGGCTACCAGACATTCAACATGCACTGGCTACAAGACATTCAACATGCACTGGCTACAAGACATTCAACATGCACTGGCTACAAGACATTCAACATGCACTGGCTACAAGACATTCAACATGCACTGGCTACCAGACATTCAACATGCACTGGCTACAAGACATTCAACATGCACTGGCTACAAGACATTCAACATGCACTGGCTACAAGACATTCAACATTCACTGGCTACAAGACATTCAACATGCACTGGCTACAAGACATTCAACATGCACTGGCTACAAGACATTCAACATGCACTGGCTACCAGACATTCAACATGCACTGGCTATGAAAGCATATAGGGCTAGAGAATTGGTAAAAGAAATAGAGACTTTCAGGTGTGGCGTGATGAGAGTGGCATTCTGTAAAGGTCCTGGTAATTCATGATCATGACGAATATTTAAAAAATTGCTAAAGGAAGAGTCTAAAGCCATGGAGGTGGGGTGAGCAAGGAAAAACAATTTTATTATTTATTTCAAGGAAATTTTCAAGCATCTTTATGTAAGTCTCTAAGAAAGTGGTATTCTCTGATAAGCATTAAGCACAATAACATCACTCTCAAGACCCCTTTTGAAAAAAAAAAAAAATACATCCAGAGTGCATTATCTTTATCTTGTTCAGTGGCTGTAAAAAAGTCCTGGTTCTTCGTCCACTTCTGAACTTTGTTCTTGTACCAAGATTTGTTTTGCATACACATCCATTTACAGAGGTGGTTTGTTTGCGTGAGACTGCTGGTTCCTTGCCCCTCAGGCAGATGCAGTTTGACTTGAAATAAAACGCTAGTGAGATTAGTATCAGGAAGTGTTTTGTGGAGGTAAAGATGGCAGGTATAATGTTCTCCTCGTCAGTTATGGAATGCCAGTTGGGCTACAGAAATTTGGGCCTGCCATCATATACTCAATAAATATCAAGGTATGGAAAAATCTGTTACCAGCTTTCACCATCATCATTCTTTGTGTGCAGTTAGACATCACATAAAGCTCGCATTCAATTCCTCCACAGCACTCTATTCTGCATGCAACTTTCTCGTTTTCTGACACGGAGTTCAGCCCAGCATTTTTTGTCTCTCGTAACATTCTTCTAAATGTTTCCCTTGGACATCCCTTTTTTTTTTAAAGACCATTTGTTTCCCAATTCAATACCTGTTTTGTAATTATTTGCTCGTTCTGTCTCAATATCGTGTCTTATATCTCTACCTTCTTTGCCTTACTGCAGTCAATACAGGTAATTATCCAGACATTTCTCTGATATCCTTAGTCTCCTTTTGTGTTCATGATTTTTCTCAGAAATTATTTTTGTTTTGTTTAAATGCATTCAACTTTCATTCCATATCTTTGTTGGTTCTTCAGCATTAGCTGACATATGTTAAAATTGAAATAACGTTAGAAGTGAAGATTCGTAGTTTGGTCTCAAAGCTGTATAACGTTTAGCTTCATATTTTGTTTTATTTTAAACACTGTTGCTGCTTGGCCAATGTGCATCATAATTTCCTTTGTTGTATCTCCTTGTGAGTCCACGTTGCTACTCAAATAGGTGAAGTGGTCTACTACTTTTAATGGTTTGTTCTCTAGCATGACATCTACATGATCTGTTGTTAGTATCTTGAATAATTTGTTTTCTTACAACTTATCTATAGTCTCATTATTGATGCTGTAGACAATAAATTGTTTTTCTTTGCACGTCTTTATTATTTTTACTTAACAGACTATTAGTTGTCTATTCTCTAACCAATCAATGCCAGTATTGCCTTTGCAACATTTGTTCATTACCCAATCAATGGCTGGTCCAAAAGACAAAGGAGATAGAATAAAGCCTTGTTTCACTTCAGTTTCCACCAAAAACCAGTCAGAAAGACCATTTTTTTAAACCAATTTTACTCATGAAGATAAGGAGCAGCTGACTGAGCTTTTGAGAATGTTTGGCTCTTATTCAGAAGACCCAGATATGAATCCTTAGTAAGGTGACTGTAGGCAAAACTAAACTCCTAACCTGCGTAGTCCACGGTGACTACACTAGCTCTGTGGCTCTAATTCCTCAGGTTCAAACCCCCCCCCCCCCCCCTCCCTTTCCCATCTTCCTCTCTGACATTTCCCTAACAAGTGGTAACTTTAGGCAGACATGAATACTATAAACAGAAATATCATGATCAGCATACAGTCTGCAATGTTGCATGAGTCCTGATATACAAATAAGCTGACTGTTGGACAGTGAGTTCTGAAGATGTTGAATCTTGGAAGCACTGTTTGCTGGGTTATGTGGCTTAGAGGTTAAGTGAACACCTTTCACAATTCTAACGGATTAGAGTTTGATTTTTATTTCAACACTGTTTTTGTGGCTTTCAGAGAATGGTATAAAAGATGCACCACGGAAAGGCTTTGGTCAAATTAAAATGTATTAGGTATGTCACAAGAAGAAGCAGAATAGAGAGGCCCGTTTGATACTGGGCAACACAAGCAGAGACAAAAAGAGAAAGACGTGTTGAAAACTTAAACAGCAGGACAAAAATTATTTCTCTACAGTAAAGATACAAGAGCCTCAGTCTCCAATGTATGCTCTTGAGAAACCACCTTTAAAAAAAAGAAGAAGAAGAACTAGCAAGGCTTTTGATAACCTTACTTCAGACTGAAAACAGAAGGCAACGAAGAAGAACATGAACTTACAATTGTTTAGTGTGTTCATACCTTGAGAATGATCTGAATTCTCTCCTGTCCGAATGATCTGACATCAGAAGGAGCACAGCCGATGTCTAGCAGAGGAACTGGCATGATTTGGGGCACAGCATGCACCTGCAACTGTTGGTAGAGACTGGGAAACACCTGGAGACAAAGTTTTTTTTTTTTTTAATGCTTGGTTCTAGAAATCTCATCATCTGATCTTAACCCTCTTGTACCTCGCAGAGGCATATAAAGTGAGGGGATGTGCCAGTTTATATCCTTCATTCATAGGAATTACCAGGGACTAGATTATTCCTTTTGTTCATGGTAAGCCTTTTTTTTTCAAATCCCATCTGCTTTGTTTATTTTTTCTTGTTGTGGTCTAATGTGTGATGGCACCGAAATTCTAAACATGATGTGACTTTTCATTTATTGCATTATAGACACTTACACACACACACATGCACACGCATGCATGCACGCACGCACGCACGCACACATGCACGCACGCACGCACGCACGCACACACACACACACACACATACACATACACATACACAGAGAGAGAGAGAGAGAGAGAGAGAGAGAGAGAGAGAGAGCCAGTACTTATCTACCAGCTGAGACCATTATTAAAACATTCAAACATAAGTATGACTGCTAAGAAACAGATTATAAACAGCACCCTGAAACCAACAATCCGTCAGGAGTCATCTCCACAATAAAGGCTGACTGCAATGGATATTGAACATGCTCTATTTTTTCCTGATTGTTCACTCTCTCAGACTGCTGGTCATCCATCTTTTAACGTTGTCCTTCTACTTTAATTACCGTCTACTTCTTGCTCTCTTGCCTTTGCCTTTTTCTTAGCATATGGTTTTTTTACAATATTATGTCTTTTAATATTTCACTTATCTATTTTTTTTTTTAAATCAGCAATTCATTTCATTCCCAGATTCTCCAAAAACCTCTATATTTGAATATATGCTTGCAGACATTTGATAATCTTTTTCCCTGAGACCTATGTTTAAATCATTGCTAATTATTGGCATCATGAGGGCTAAGAGACTGAAATAGAGAGAATGGCAGTTAATAGAGTAACAAGGACTGTGTACACAAAAGAGTTGAATGGGATCAGACCAAAAGACAGACCATGAAGATAGCGGTTAGATCAGTGGTGGGGGAAGGGGTAAACACAAAATAGCAAAAGCATGTGTTTTTTAAATAAAAATATATAATATAAGTTTCCACACCGGGCACTATCAGACCTTCCTATGCCACAGGGTGAGATAATATTCAGGCAGACTCACCAAAAACTGAAATACCAACTAGAAAGAGAAGGCCAATCAGACAGATAAATGGGGGCAGGTGATATCTGCAGCATCGAACCCAAGGGCTTGGAATGTTGAGCAGAAGAAGGTGTCTAACTTAGTTCAAGTGCCCCCAGTTGTCCTCTTTATATTTTTATTTCCCAGACTCACAGTAAAAAGCTTCTTGCATTCTAGAATCATCATCAGCAGGCACTCGTGGGCTGCCTTTTGTTCCATCATCTCTCGGGGGTCCGGAACAGCAATGGAGGTTTTGTGGTTTCTCTTTGGACTCTGGGCTGTCACTGTGTGCTGAGGCCCTAACTGGAAGACTGTCGGTGTGAAGCAGACGGCCAGATTGTTTGCATTCATCTGGGGGAGATACAATCAGTGTCATTACCTGCCTACATAGACATGTCATATATCATTATCAACAGATGTAATGAATATTATATTCTGAGATATAATGAATCTCATTATCTGAAGATGTAATTAGTTTTATTAACTTCAGATGCAATGAATTTCATTAACTGGATACATGAGTATCATTACGTGGAGATAGAATAAGCATAATTCCTGAGAGGACATGAGAGTATATTTGTCTGAATATTCAAATTAGTAGTAGTAGTAGTAGATTTTTACCCCACCAGGACGTCACACAAGCGATAAACACCCAATGACACAAAGTGCCACCATGTGGATGAGGATCACCGTGGAGAGATCCCAGAAACCGCGTTCAGCAATTAGACCATATTTATGGTCGGGCTATAATGCAGCCTCTGGCAAGAGCCAGAGTAGGGCTTCAAAAAACGAAAAATTGCATCTCACACGGAGATGATTGGATAGTATATTATGTATATAAATATTCAAATATTGACTAAAGGTGATATAGTGAGCATCATTATCCAAGGAAATGAGTATCCTTATCTAGAATACATTGTGAGTATCATTACCTGAGTATTATGGGTATGATTAAGGGAGGATATAATTGGTGTCATTATTGAAGGATATAATCAGAATCTTTCTATAACTTGTATACAAAATACAATGCCTTACATGCATACAGCTTGCACTGTAGTGTTTGTTAGAGTTTTCTCCACTTGGTACTCTTAGTGGCTTTTGAAACTTTTATTCTTTGGTTTGTGTGCTTCAAGCTGTTTGCCATAACACAGGACTGAATCACCCTCTCCAAAATGGCACAGAAAAAACAACTAGATGTCTTCTTCTTCTTATTCCTCTTGTTCTTTTTCTCCTGCATTTGCTCTTACAAGGGCACACTGTATTGTGGTTTACAGCATAGCCCTGATATCTGCAACTTTTAGCCCCACACATCTTATTTCAGATCCCCTAATTAATAACTTTCTATGACATGCTTGTTAGGGAGATAGTAGGTTTTATTTTTTTTTTAAAAATCATTAAAAGATGCTAGATACAGAATCTCACAGGATAGAAGAAAATAGAAGAATAAACTGCGAGCCCTATGTGACATATGATGGCACAAAAGGATGAGGATAATGATGATGAAGATGATACCTGATGATCTGCTTCATGGGAAGAAATATCGCTGAGGAAGAGAAGGATGGACTGCAGCACTTCTCTGTTCTCATCTGGCAGCAGCACTATTGCCGTCTGCAGGGCTTCCAGTCTTTGAGATGGTGGCACATCTGTGGATAAAGGTACGACTGTCAAATTGTCATTACTGCCTCATTTGCCACTGGTGCTGCATTAGAAAAAAAAAATCCCTAGCCTTACTGAGGTTTTGAACTTTGGTCTCCTACATGTAAGCCCTGCGTTCTTCAACGCTCAGCCAGCCACTCCTCAGAAAGAAGGTCAGACAAAAGCTTGAAACTGAGCGTCTACTAGTTACGCTGAATCAGCACAGTTGTGTTTATTAGAAACATGGGGAATGGCTAAAGAAATTTATAATAAACTACATCATGTTAGTCAAGTAGCAGTGCTTACCAGGCAACTTCATCAAGCATGACCATGGAGATAGCCGCTGCTTTCAAAACACTAGTATGCGCAGCAGAGCAAAAGCCACACATGCAGTATTTATATCAAACTCCATGAACATGCTACAGAAGATGACAAGAGACAGTATGAACTTTGAATGCATAGAAAGCACTTGAAAATTGCACTTAACCTCTCTCACCTGGATCTACAGAAATGGTAAGCTGGCATAAAGAGTAACAAGCTAACAGACCAACTGGTAATCAATGCACTAAAGCATGTATGAAGAAGCATGGACAAAGAAGATGGCATCAACGCTGTATGGACTGAGCTAGTAGATAATGACAAATCTCTGACACTAACATGATTGCATGACATGGAAGTAAATCCTAGTGAACATTTCTATACCACCTTCAAGACATTATAACCAGCCTCTCATGGGAGAAATTAGTAGAAGTACTTTGAAATGACAAGCTAAGGACTCAGCAGGCTTGGGAATGCCAAATGTGCAGTGACGTCGATTATAACATAAGGTAAATTATTAATTAAACATATTGGCAAGTACCAGGACAGGTCCCAAGAAGAAAAGGTGGCTGGAACAATGTTGACAACATCATCCATCAAGTGGTAATAGTTCTATCCAATATGGGTATAAAAACATTTGCCTGATGTACCACTAGTGTGAGAAGGTACATAGCTTTACTTTACAGATTTTTCTTCTAGTCTACAGCATGTATTTTCTGTACTCATAACAGTCCTCAGTCTTCTGTTATGTGTGCTAATTTCTTATGCAGGTTTTTTTTTTTTTTTGAGGGGGGTCATGTTATCATTTCAAACTGTTTAAAAAATCATCTATCTTGGCCTCTCTCTCTCTCTCTCCCTCTCTCTCTCTCTCTCTCTCTCTCTCTCTCTCTCTCTCTCTCTCTCTCTCTCTCTCTCTCTCTCTCTCTCTCTCCCTCTCTCTCTCTGGTGGTCTTTAATAAAATAACAACAATCATATTCAACATAATGAACCAACTGTAAGCAAGTTGCAGTTATTTAAACAAATGAGAACTTGCATTTTTCCTGTGGGAACATATGGATGTGAGTCAAAGACTCTTGTTTGTGAACTGAAGAAAAAAAATGGAGCTTCTGAACAGAAATGTTGTAGAAAACAACTTAAAATATCAAGGACCCAGAAAAAAATAAATACAGACATCCTACAGAATCTGAACATCGAGGAAAATAAACATTTCCGAAATCTGGGGTATTTTTATCATGTTGAACGTCATGGTGATCTAGATAGAATGGTGATAGAGAGCACAGTTTCTGGAAAAAGAGGCAGAGGCAGACCTCTGTGAAAGTGGATACAAGACCTTGAAGAAGCATTGGTTATGAAAGCACATAGGGCTGGAGTATTAGCTAGGCAAAGAAAAACTTTCATGCATGCGGTGATGAGAGTGCCATTGTGTAAAGGACCTGCTGACAAATGATGATATATAACATGACATTGCAAGGAAACAGATATCAGAAATCAGGTAATGCACTCACGCATATAAATGCTGCGGAAGATTTCAGACATCTTGTTGGTCAGCAAGCATTCGGGGAGATCCCTGAAGTACGTCTTTAGCATGTCTGCTACATTGTATGCATTGACTCCTTCAAAATTCACAGTGTCTGTGAAAGAAATGCACGTTAAGCAAGTAACCAAGAGAAAAGTAGCGATACAAGTGGTAGGTAAACATCAAGAGATAGATTAACCAAAGTTTGTGTGCACAACCAAGGTGTGAGACAAAGAGGCTAGAGATATGTTTAGGAGCTTTATTTTTATCTTGAGGACAAAAACACTTAGGGACTGAAATGTCAACAAAGTTTCATCTAAAATCCCAGAGTTACAGCCATTGGTGTTCTCAGGCTATTTTTTTTTTAAGCCGCAGGTGCCTTTTTATTCCACTGGTAAGATATCAACATGACTATCCCGGGATATGCCAGTTAAGTGATTTTGTATACGTGTGGTTTTGTTTGATTTATGTAGTGTGCTGATGAAGACTGTGCAGCCACTATGTTCACTTTCTGTTTGTGATTATGTGTTCACATGCGCCTATTAGGCTTTTACGTCTCCTACTTATTCATACATTGTCTGTTTCAGTAACAGATAATAATTACTATAACTCTTATATTCTGAGAGGTTAGTGTTTAAAGTAACCAAAGTTTGAGTCCCCCAAAAAATTAAATAACACTCTGGGGTGTAGGGAGTAAAACTAAAAATTCAGATTAATGAGTTAATATAACAACATATCTGCAATTAAAATAAAAAAGGAGTTACAAGTGAGTACTGTCTTTGAAGTAACTAATGAACATATGCTCATCTGACTAATACTGAAAGAGTTAATTAATCACCACAGGCACAGAACCAGCCAGTTTAGCTACCCATTTGTTTCCCAACATGCGGAAAAGATATTAATATGTCCAGGAGAAAATATTTAGAAGATGCTTACTAACATTCTTAAATTTTTTTGACATGTCTTGTCTATCCACTGCTGAACAAAAGAAAATTGTGTAGGTTATCCTCTTGTCCTAATAAAAACAAGATAGAAAGATAACATCAGAGAAACTCTAAAACCGCACAATGTGTCTATGCTTGATGTGGTCAGAAAAGTAAAAAGCAGAACTTTATATCCCCTTCAACACCTGAAGAGGTAAAAGAAAAAGTGAAGAAGAAGAAGATCATATAGTCGTAGGAAGCCTTCATGGACACCAAAATAACTACAGATGACACATTACTTTTAAAGCTTGAGTGCTACAGATTTTGAAGGCACAAAAACATTTGTTTTTAAATTCCGTGTGAGTTCCGAGGCCCCATTTTGGAGGGAAAAGGAAAGACCCAGTCCCTGCCCCCTCCCCGCTTTCCCACCCCCAATAAGCATGATGTAAAAGGTAACATGAAAGATTAGCTAAAAACAAATGTGTAGGGTCGAGAGACGCACATGTCACAGACAAGCTGTAAACCAACCACAACATGCCAAGCTCCCTTTTTCAGGTGAATGCAGGAGAAAAATAAAAATGCAAAGAACTATTTTCCCCATGCTTTGGGTTTATGGGACCTCATTTTAACAACAGACTTGCCACTCAATAGGTGACGTATTCAATATCAAACTGACTGCCTTGACTTCCCAGAATATTTTTTGGTACCAACTGTAGGTTGAGTTGTCAAATTTATTTCACATTTTGATGACTTTCCCCATGGGAGTTGCAGAGGCCATATGTTTTGCAGACACACACAAAACAATAGATCAATTGTCCCCTAACAAGCGTGTCCTAAAATTCAACGTATTAAGAGGTTTTTTTTTTAAATTTTTTTTTTCAAATTTGGAATCCATCTACCGGAGTGGTAAGGAATCAACCGTCTGCTTACAAATAAGCCAGATTTGTAAAATGGATGTGCATACAAAACTCGAGTTCTGGAATAAGACTAAAGTCCATAAGTGGACGAACACCCAGAACTTTTCGCCAAAGTTTAAAGCCAGTGACCATAAAAAGAAGAAGAATTCCTGCTTTGACAGAGATTTAAACACAAAATCATCTGGTTTAGGCAAGCTCCCTAGACACTGCACCACTCTTATTACACAAGACCTGGGTTATTTTGTTAGTATGTAATGACACACAGTACCTGCACCTTCTTCAGGAATAATTTTTATTTTTTCAAGACTGACGATTTTGGTATTTTTAAAATTTCCTTACAATACTTCGAGCCATGCTTGCAAAAAAGTGTATTAGTTACTTCAGTGTGAGTGCCTGCCCTGGACAACTTTCATATTTCACTTACCAGGGTGAGCCTCCAGGTAATCTCTCAACTGCTGGATCTTTGACTTGACGCCAGATTTACGGAAAATACCAACTGCGTTTGGGCTGGTACGTCTGAGGTATCTCATGGCATGGAGGACACACTGAGGCAATGGCTGGCCCGTTCTCTGGGCCATGACATTTAAAGGAACACCAAACACCTTTCTGTCAATGAAGTCAGCAATCTGCAAGAGAAAGTTATTGAAATTCGTATGTATCAGTTCTGACCAAATTAAATACCATTTTGTCAACGAAGTCAGCAATTTGTAAGAGAAAGTGGATGAAATTCTTAGTATCTTTTCGACCAAAACTAAATACCATTTGTCATTGAAGTCAGCAGTCTGCAAGAGAAATTTAGAAATTCTTATGTATCAGTTCTGACCAAATTAAATACCATTTTGTCAACACAGCAATTTGCAAGGTTTATGGCATCAGTTCTGACCAAACTAATACCATTTTGTCAATAAATTCAGCAGTCCTGCAAGAGAAAGTTATGGAACATTCTTATGTATCAGTTTCTGACCAAAACTAAATACCGTTTTGTCAATGAAGTCAGCAGTCTGCAAGAGAAAGTTAGGAAATTCTTATGTATCAGTTCTGACCAAACTAACGATACCATTTTGTCATTGAAAAGTCAGCTTGCACTGGAAGAGAAATTTTATGGAAATTCTTATGTATCAGTTCTGACCAAACTAAATACCATTTTGTCAAATGGAAGTCAGCAATTTGCAAGAGAAAAGCATGGAAATTCTTATGTATCAGTTCTGACCAAACTAAATCCTCAGAAGATCAGCAATCTGCAAGAGAAAGTTATGGAAATTCTTATGTATCAGTTCTGACCAAACTAAATACCATTTTGTCAATGAAGTCAGCAATTTGCAAGAGAAAGTTATGGAAATTCTTATGTATCAGTTCTGACCAAACTAAATACCATTTTGTCATTGAAGTCAGCAGTCTGCAAGAGAAATTTATGGAAATTCTTATGTATCAGTTCTGACCAAACTAAATACCATTTTGTCAATGAAGTCAGCAATTTGCAAGAGAAAGTTATGGAAATTCTTATGTATCAGTTCTGACCAAACTAAATACCATTTTGTCATTGAAGTCAGCAGTCTGCAAGAGAAATTTATGGAAATTCTTATGTATCAGTTCTGAGCAAAAACTAAATACCATTTTGTCAAGGTGATGATGATGATAAATGTGATGATGATGAGGAGGAGGATGATGGTGATGATGCTGATGATGATGAGGATGTTTAAAATAATGATGATAATGAGTACGAGGATGGTGAAGATTACGATTATGATGGTGATGATGATAATGATTGTGATGATGAGGATGATGGTGATGATGATGATGGTGATGATGATAATGATGGTGATGATGATAATGATGATGATAATGATGGTGGTAATGATGATGATGACGATGATGATGATGGTGATGATGATGATGGCAAAGATGGTGATGATAGGGTGAGGATGATGAGGACGATTGCGATGATAAGTTCGATAACGGCGAAGATATTTAAGACGATCACTGTGATGATGATGATGATGCCAGTGTGATGATGGTGATGATGGCGTTCATCATGAGGACATTAATGTCAAGATGACAATGACACAGACAATGATGATGACAATGATGACAGTGACGATGACAATGGTGACGCCTGCAATGATGACAATGAAACAATGCAACCGTTACCACGTACCTTCGGTTTCTTCATAAACCGAGGCATCATCCAATTCCAGCCCGAGCGGCTGACGGGCAGACATTTCTCCATGATGGCCGTCAACTTCAGCAGACATAGCTTCTGCAGACGGACCATCTGGTAAACCGTCAACTGGTTGATCTGCATGGCGCGGCTGTTGACGTCCGGCTTGTGGCTGTTTTGGAAGCTGTTCCACCGCAGTTTCTTTTGGCGCCGTTCACTGAAAACAGTGGTAGTAGTCATTTCAACAACGGTATTATCTATATGGGTTAAGGGACTTTTTCAATTTATTCATTTATGCATACATTCATTCATTCATTCATTCATTCATTCATTCATTCATTCATTCATCTAGTCATTCATTCATTCATTCATTCATCCATTCATTCATCTAGTCATTCATTCATTCATTCATTCATCTAGTCATTCATTCATCTATTCATTCATTCATCTATTCATTCATACATTCATTCATTCATTCATTCATTCATTCATTCATTCATTCACTCATTCATTCATTACTTATCCTGTTGTGCCTTTATATGTCACATAGGGCTCACAGTCTATTCCTCCATTCTTTTCTACCCTATCCGATCAGTTCAATATCCTTGTCGGCTATCCTCCGAAAAACGGTTCCAAATTATCTAGGCTGAAAAAATACCCTAACAGGACTTCAATCATATGTAAATTGCGGACCTCTTTCCAGCGACTATACCGGGTACTGCGGAAAATCTTCCGCCCAGTTAAAGTCACTGCGGGTGGGGGCTAAACTAGATGGCTGGAACTCACGAGCAGCAGCTACCCCATCTCCTGTAGCTTCCTCCATTTTATTTACTTGTGAGTCCCAGCCATCTAGTTTAGCCCCCCCCCCCCCCCCCCATCCGCGCCGCGTGTAGGTCCTCAATTATATATGACTGAGGCCCTGTTAGGGTATTTTTTTAGCCTCGTTTTGGGACCGTTATTCAGAGGATAGCCTCCTTGTCCCCCATCTTCTCTCTGCCACTCTTTCTGTCCCTCATTGTCTCTCTGCCACTCTATCTGGCTCTATCTGTATATCTGCCACTCTCCAACTCTCAAAGTCTCTCTGCTCAGTCTCTCTGCCCCTCTCGCCATCTCACTCAAGACAAGTACTAACCTGGGAGCTCTAGGTAACGAATGGCCAACCCCCGAATCTCGCCTCTCTCTAGGAACAGACGAGATTTCGTCAAGAGAGTCCCGAGACACGTCAGTAGCAACAAGTTCAGGGTCTTCGCTACTAGACTCGGCAGTGTTGCTTCCTTCACCACCGCTGAAACTGTTCTCTGGGTCAAGATCAAGGGCCCCGTCGAACTCCAAAGAGTTGTTGATGTCTGGTGAAGAGATTGGTTTTACCAAAGAGGTAAAGTGTGTCTCGGGCTGATCAACACATGGAATATTAGAAGTAAGAAAAAAGGTATGCGGCGAAACAGAATTCACAAAAATATTTACGTACCTTATAAGGTAAAGGTAAAGTCGGGAGATGTGAACCAGCGTCATTGCACGCGGTTATAAACCATAAGTGCTCTGCCACCAGTACGGAGAGCTGATAGGAATTGTCCGCCCGTGTCGCCGTTCGCACGCAACTCTGTAGCTAGAGCGAAGTTCCCCCATTTACCCCAGAGTGTCAACTCTGGTACCCATTTCCTAGAGGTTGGATGAACCCCGGGAGCCGCCAGGGTTCGTGGGCTGCACCGAGTCGCAGCTGGATTTGAAAGCCAGCCTCTTATCGACTGAGCTAACGCGGCCCCATACGTACCTTATGAAGTCCAGGACTCTGTTAAGAGATATCATAACCATACGAACCTCATACCCGAATAATTATATAAAACCTATTACTGTAATAACTCCTTCTCCTGCTGCCACTGCTGCTGCTTCTTTTTCGCGTTGACCGTCTGTAAGCTCCGGCGGACAGCTCTAGTTGTTTGTCCATTTCTCGACTTTGTTCTTGATTCATAACTTGATTTTTAGTACACATTCGTTTTTATCAAATCTGCCTTATTGTTAAGCACTGCTGCTTTCTCGCCTTAAAGGAACATGCACTCTAACTTTAAAGAAAACTTCCACAAGGAGTCGATTTTATGACATGCTCGTTAAGGGGAAAGTGAGTGTATCCCCCTTTCCACGCCAAATTGGGACCCGGAATCCACACAAGTAACTCAAATACCACAATGGTATCTCTTGCCCAAATATTTAATTATGACCTTTTGACCGAATACTTAGGTATAACCTCTTGCCCAAATACTTAATTATGACCTCTTGTCCGAATACGTAATTATGACCTCTTTCCCGAATACTTTATTATGACCTCGTGCCAGAATACTTAATTATAACCTCTTACCTTAATATTTAATTATGACTTTTGCCCAAATATTTTATTAGGACCTCTTGCGTGAAGAACTAATTATGACCTCTTGCCAAAATATTTTATTAGGACCTCTTATCTGAATAATTAATTATAACCTCTTGCAAACGTATTTTTTTGGATCTCTTGCCCGAATACTTAACTATGACCTTTTACCCGAATACTTAATATGACCTCTTGCCTGAATACTTCATTAGAACCTCTTGCCGGAATACTTCATTATAACCTCTTGACGGAATACTTCATTATGACCTCTTGCCGGAATAATTCATATGACCTCTTGCCGGAATACTTTATTATGACCTCTTGCTGGAATACTTCATTAGGATCTCTTGCCAAAATACTTAAGTATGACCTCCTGCCCTAATTTCAATTAGTACCTTATGCCTGAATACTTAATTAAGACTTCTTGCCCTACTTAATGAGGACATCTTGCCCTAATACTTAATTAGGACCATTTGCCACATACGTTACAGGGACACCAGGCCAAGTGAACAGAAATCACATACGTTACAGGGGTGTCAAGCCAAGTGAACAGAAATCACATACGTTACAGGGGTGTCAAGCCAAGTGAAAAGAAATCACATACGTTACAGGGATGTCAAGCCAAGTGATAAAAATTCACATACGTTACAGGGGTGTCAAGCCAAGTGATAATAAATCACATACGTTACAGGGATGTCAGGCCAAGTGAACAGAAATCACATACGTTACAGGGGTGTCAGGCCAAGTGAACAGAAATCACATACATTGCAAGAGTGCCAGCCAGAAAATGAGGAATCTAGCCATATATTTCTACAAAACGCTGCTGGGTGAGGACTGTGCTGTACTGTAAAATAGCTAGCAGAAAACTCAAGAGAATTCACCAAACAACCTCAGACATCAAACAAGGACATGGACTCACCCGTTTCTCTGCTGACATAATCCGACAGCTCATTGATGTTCTGGTACAGCTGCTGTAGAATGAGGTCAAAATCATCGTATTCTTTCTGTGCTAGTGTCGGCTGACTGTCAGTTAGTTCTCCACTGTCTATGTCATTGTTGCCACTGCTGTCTTGAAAGTAAGAATCCAAACTGGAACTATGGGTTACTCCTTTGGACTTTGATGTCGCTGAGTCTGAAACCATGTCATTTTTAGTTTCACTAATATAGGCACCTGTTTCATTCCTTGGAGCGCTCTCCCCTTGACTCTGTAATGGCGAGGGTTCAAAGCTAACACTTAAATCGCAAACTGATCTTCCAGAAGGTTGGTCACTTGACCGTAGTAATGAACCTACCACTGGAACATCAACCGAAGACGTTTCAACACATGGCGGATTACATTCAGAGTACAAATCGTGAGTAAGTTTATCCTGACGTTCTTCCACTCCACTCTGCCAGCTACTTGTCACTAATTCCTCACTACAGCCTTTGGAATGATTTCTACTATCACAATTGTCTAACTCGTAAATGCCTGGAAAGATCATACGACCATATCCTTGTTCTTCTTGTTTATCAACTGCTTCTATATTGTCATACACACTATTTCTGTGACGCCGGTTTGAAGAATACGGTATCAATTCCTCAACTTTGGATGTATTGGAATACTGAGCAGTGTTATTTCTAGCGCCAACATCAGCTTCAAAAAATCCTGTCAGGGTGTAACCCATGTTAAGGACTCGAGGGAATCGTCCAGGCTGTTGGCGATTCTCCACTCCGAAAAATCCGTCCTTCATGTCCAGGTCACAAGTGGTATTTTCTAGAAGTGTTTCTCTTTGCACCGAGGACAAACTTTGTGTTGCAGTATTTGGGAAATGCGTATTGAGTTTGCAGTCGCCGTCTAATGGTGTCTGCTTAGCTGAAGAGAGAATGTCAATGTTGTGATTCGGTGAATTTTTCAGTGTTGATGAATTAGGTGTGGCTGGAGGTTTGGTCGCTTGTGGGTTTGTTTCAAGTACTGACAATGTTGTTTTAGACGTGGAATACGGTGGGGACTGTACAGGGAATTGGCTGAAAGGTGGGGATTGTACTGGGATACAACTTGAAGATAGGGATTTTACAGAGGTATGGCTGGTAGGTGGAGATTGTACATTAGTATGGCTAAAAGATACTGACTGTACCGAGCTGTGGCTGGCTGGTGGGTGCTGTACCATGATATTGCTAGTAGATGATGGCTGTACAAGGCTGTGACTGTTAGTTGAGGACTGTACTGTAGCATGGCTACTAGTAAACTCTGAAGATCCCGGATTTTCTGTACGCTCTACAGAACTAGCACGACTGCCGAGGGTCGATACATGACCTCCAGCAGAAAGTTCAGGTCGGACAGTCTTCGATGATGGTGAGATATCAACACAGTTGAGTCTCTCTAACTTGGCGCGCAGATGATCACTGTCTTCAACGATTGGCCCACTGATATCTAAAATATTGCGACGTTTTGACATTCCACGAGACCTTTTGTTCTTCAAAACGTCCATCTTTCTAAACAGGTTATTGGATGACTTACTTTTCTCATCGGCCACTGGGATCGGTCTAGCAGAAACGAAAACATCATTTAGATCCTGCTCTCTGGTAGCATTCTTATGGAACTTAACTTGGGGACGATGTGAATTGCTTTCCTGTTCTACTGAGTGTGAGAATGAATTGGGTATAGCTTCTTTCCTGGGCGTACACGTGTCGTGGTCCAGCAAGCTGTCCTGACTTTCTGAGTGGCCGGTCATATCTGTCTGATCAGATCCCATCGCTGTGGCGTGCCTGGATGAGGATGTCACCCCCTTTCTAGACCAACGTCCGGCAGACTTCTTGTACTCCCATCGATCGCTTAGTGCACACAGGTCTTCTTCTTCATCTTCTTCGCTGCTAACCTGCTTATGGAGACGACAGAATGTGTTATAGCATATAATGTAAACATACGGCGAATATGTTATGTTCATCCAATTACTTGTTACTTTAATATTAGCAAGCAGAAGAAAATGACACCCCAGACCTCCCAAATCTTTGCAAGCGTTTGGCCACTCCAACAAACTGATGCCGAGGTAAGATTTACAAAATATGTAACTGGATAACAACATACAACCAACCTGAAGTCGGTAGCTGGAACAACAGCAGCCAGTTTTCATATTTCCAGCCGTTCAATATTAAATCCATTTAAAGTTTGCCAAGAAAAGCCCGGTAGGAACATTGTAAAACAAATCGCACACACACTAAGACACAGACACACACACGGCTCATTAGGGCGGGAACACGGCGGTCAGAAGTAGTTCACACAGACAGGGGTGAAACAGTAAGTTTGTAATTGCGTTAGTGAGTCCGTTTTATCCTTGACCCGTGTATGACCTTTCTTGCGTATCAGTAACGGACCCCAACGACATATGGCAAGACAATGCATGGTGTGTTGTTAGAAGTACCAGATTACGTCACTACATGCCGACAGTGGGTATAGAAGAGAGACTGCAAAGATCAGGATGAACGAACGAACAAACATTATTTTCAAAGGAGAACTGGCACGCACGCCGGATAGCATTCTACCCTGTCAGTTTTATTGTTAGCACACTGTTATCTGTCATTTCACAGAAAATAATAAACGTTTTTAACGACATCTACGACCTAATTACAAACGATGGAATGTACTCACTGCAGACAGACTGACAGACGAACTTGCTTCAGATAGACAGACAGTTTCAATAGGGGCCAATGGATCAAACGGTCAACAGGCAGACTATAAGCAACCTTACACCTTCCCTATTCACATACAAAAACATCCCACATGGTGCATTTTGCGTGGATCTTTATCATGGTATAGCGCGTCGGAGGTCGACCCAGCCTAAAACGAGTACCAGGATGGCTGTCTTGTAGAAGTAAAGACGGCCGACGTAATGCTGACCACATTACCTACCTATTGCTGATGGTCTGTAAAAATATGGGCGCTCTTCCCATATACCCGATGCGCCTGAAGGCGTGAAAAGACAACTTTACTTTACTTTTTTTTATGGTGCATTAATCCACACCGGAACCTCTAAAAACCCATCAGACTATAATCCATGTTGTAACGAGCGTCTATAAAGCCACACAAACATATACAGGACAATCCTTGCTAGTGGGTGTGAACATCGTGTCCCGAGGTTATCCAGGTCAGAAGATAATTAAGAACCAACACGGAACACCAGTAGACGGTTCTCATTCCTTTTTTACGTGCCAAGACCAGGTGCAGGCGTTGGCGATCATGATGTCCCTATCTCACTCTTTCCTGTCATCCTAATTTGTAACGCTTTCAGCCTTCAGCAAGTATCAGTTTAACTCGGAGGTCCTAATAATATGGTCTTCTTGTTCTTACCGGCTATAGAGAATGTTGTAACGACTGGGAAGATCAGCCGTAGAAGAAAGAACGAACGAACTAGCGAACTTTATTTTCAAAGGGTTACAAATTGGGCACGCAAGCCCGTCTGACATTCGGCCCTTCTAAGTACTAATTTTTCAGAGTACCAGTGCAGAGGGAGAGGCAGATCAAGAGAGATGATGATGGATGGACTGCGACGGTGGCATGGAGGGATATCATCGGTGGAACTGATCCAGAGAACAAGGGACAGAGTTCAGTGGAGGTGCATGAACGCCTACACCAGTCGGCAGGGCGCGTGATGATGATGATATTCTTACTTCTCCTAACTACATCATCGAAATGCTTTTCTCGAGAAGTTGGGGGAGGGGAGAGTTATGAATAAAGTAACATAGTATGATTGTTTGTTTGTTTGTTTTAGTATCCAGAAGCCATGAGTTGTTAACCCTTAGGCTTGGTATTATAGATATCGCAACCTTTCGGCCTTGATTCCATTGTAAATACCTTAAATCTGGGAGAAATGTGGCTTTTCTGCCTAACCCCGGGAGTGAACCCGGACTACAAGGAGCTCGTCACCCGGTCACCGCGCAATCCGGTTTAGCCAACTACGCTAGAGAGCCGGGCACATAGTATGATTAAACAATGGCCATAATCTAGTTGTTATTTCGTCATTGGTATCAGCAACAGCATAAAACGCAACCAAAACACACTCCGCAAACAAACAAACAAACAAAACCAACACATGTGACAAACGCACAACACGACTAGTGACACTCGCGAATGTCAAAGTGCTCTCGTCACGTTCTCGTGTTACCAGTCTGATGCATGCCACAGATGCTCGTGCCTGATGAAAGCGAGGCATGCTCAACAAGTGCCGAATCTGAGGCAGAGACTAGTGGTAGAGATAAGAGGTCGTTGAGTTACGTGAGCAAATTTCCAGTGAGCCAGGCAAAGAGGTCATAATGTCTGTGCTAGTCTTGTTCGGGCGAGCTCATGCAACCGTAAAGATACATATATATAACCACATACGCACACAGAGACAACCGCATACATTTACTAGACGAGGAGGAAGAGGCAGAGACGAGGAGGTTGAAGAAGAAGAAGAAGAAGAAGAAGAAGAAGAAGAAGAAGAAGAAGAAGAAGAAGAAGAAGAAGAAGAAGAAGAAGAAGAAGAAAAGGAGGAGGAGGAGAAG